ACCTTCTGCAGTAGTTTTCACCTGCATTATGTTAGTTCATACTCTTTCAACTCCTCTTCACACGATCTCCTCCATGTCACCCTTACACCGGCGTCCCACTCGCCGCTTCCCTTTAGGGTTCCACTCGGGCAATGGCCTGACGCGCGATGTCACACAGCGTCTCCTCAGCGAGTGTCCGATCCGTCTCCACTTTCTCCTGCATATTTGTTGGCTGGCAATTGGTTCTTGTTTTGTTTGTTCCTTCCTATAGCACCTTGCTGGTGATTCTTTCTGGTCCGGCCACCTGATCTTTAGTATAGAGCCAGCGAAGACAGTTGCTGATAAAGGTAACGTCTGCAACAAGCTGTTGGAAATATTCTTTGTTACCCGCCAGCCAAGTTTCTGATCCGTATAGAAGACCTGACTGACTTGACGTTGTTTGTATTGAAAATCCGACTGAATTTTGTTGTTGACGTTGTGTGACGAAGATTTCCGGATTGATTTCAAGTTGATGAATGTGTTTCTCGCCTTCCCGATTCTCACTCGACTTGACATCCTCGTCCGTTCCGACTGCCTGTAGTTGAGACAATAATCTCTAGATATATGGTGAATGAAGTAACCTCTTTCAAATCCCTCCCGTTGATGGTGATTGGCGCTGAATGTTGCTGCTGCTGTTGTTGTTGTTTTTAGTTGATTATTTTCATCATTTCCGTCTTGTCTATGTTCACCTGGAGTCCTGTCTTCGCCGGCTGCTTCTTTGGCCAGTTTGTCGGTCGGTTTTTGCTTGTAAGTCTTTGATTTTGTGTGACATGAAACATAAATTATCCATGCGCCAAATCCAGGTCTTCTAGGTTCTTCAAGTCGGTTGGTAAGGTATATTGTTCCAAAATGAATAACTCTTTATAAGAAATTAGTCGGTAGTCTTTGTCAACTGGTATTAAACGAAATCCCATCAAATGTGTTACAAATTGCGACTTATATGAACCGGTTATCCCCCATGATTCTACTAACACAAATACCACTAAAAACGAAAGTAGATCGAATGTTGAATACCTTCGATAATGTCTTCCCTGGTCTTTCCACTTCATATCACTTTCTAGAAAGATATTTCCTTTGAAGTTCCAAGTGAGGAAGTTAAGACAATCTGGATTCGTCCAGTCCATACTTTTACAGTTTGTTAATTTATATATTCCACCTACTTTTCTTTATTCCCCACCGACCGCCCTCCTCCTAAATCCTTCCCAGGCTATTTAAAGAAGACATTATAACGCTATGAAAGGCAATGAAGCTGTCAGAAGGGCGAGTAAAGTGTCTTTAAAAACAGACTCGTTAATTCTGCTGGAAGTATTATCTTGTCAGGTGTACCATGAGCATTCTGCCAACCCTTGAATCTCATCAGGTGAGAATAGAAGCAGCGATGGAGGACTATATGCTCGGAAGAGTAAGCATAAAATCTTTACGATACCTTATTCGTCATACATTTTATCCAACGAGAAAACAGTTAGGCATGATTCTAGTATAATATTGAGAAACACTAGGTAAGTGGCCATTTTTATTCATCCTTTTATTGTTATACTGTTGCTAATTTTTTCACTTAATTTAATTTAACACTGATATTCTTATTGAATGGTATAATCAATGTAAATACCCGTTTACCTATAACGAGTAAATTAGATTTAATGCCGTACTAAATGCTGAAATTCTACGTGAGCGCCAGAAGTACTATTTTGACGAAAGTCATTATTATCACTCAGTTAAGTGGTGGAGATAGCGTCAAACCTTTTGGTGTAATTTGCCACCTTCATTATAAAGAATTGATATATTCATCATCGAAATTCACAAAACCTAACTTTAATAAATCTCAAAGGGTTTTGATGGATTTGATTAGTCATAGGATTCTATTATTAGCTGACATAGGTTGAAAAACCACTGATACTTGAGTACAGGACTAAGCTGGGACTCCTCATCAGTGAGCCCCAACTGTGAGCTCGGAGATCATTCATAACCTACTGCGATCCGACCCAATGGCAATCCCATGAATTCCAACTTCTTCTAAGTCATGATATTCCGCAACCACCGGCCAGTGTCATCAGTGGGTTGTATCTGTCTCCAAAACTGGCCTGCTCTACGGCCGTGTTCACGACGTCTCATGACGAAATCCTATAACCAATTAATCCCTGCAAACCAACACTTGAATATCAGTCTGATTCTGGCTACGGACCGGCCCTATTTTGGTGGGTAGTTGCGTGGATACTAGTGAGAAATCATAGCCAGTGGTACACATTAGGTCAGGTGTGAGTACAAATTCTCGTCATGCATGACACTGAATGGTTGTCGCGCTACATCGTAAATTAGCTGAAGTTTGAATTCATGGACTGTCGATAGGATAGGGTCCCAGTGGCCCTATGGTCTACAGGTTCGCCTCATAACCTGGAGGTTCCGGGTTCTAATTGTGGTACTGGATGCGTACTACTGAGGGGTCCTGAAATTGAACGAAACATCCAACTTTCCTGTATTCCCTGGATCATTTCCAATTGTTTTCTAACCGATGTCAGCTGATGATGAACTGCTGTGATCAAATGGACATATCACAAATGCATATACTAATCAGCAATGATCACTGGCATAAAGAAAATGCTTTAGTCGATAGTTTCTCCTATAAATCTTTAGTATTATTGAACTGTTGTATTCCTAGCGTCCCTAGGCATCAAGGCTATCAGGTAGCATGAGATGTGATCTTCTGTTAATTAAATTCCCTTATGAAATATTACAGGTTTGTATCACACTCTAAAAAAGGTTTTTATTTTCAATTATATAACTTATAATTTCGCCGTGGGCCATTTAGTTTCATAATAGGTTTTAGACAAAATTATGTAATTCAAATACTATACACAAGGTGGCTTTTAAAACTGTTGGTTTGAGCAATAGTCACGACTGTGAGTAAGTTCTGAAGATGAATTTTTACTGTCTTCCTGGCAGTGGTGAATTTCGGGACTAGCTGGTATTTCTTGATATGATCTTCGCGCGACTTAATTTCTTAGTTTTTGTAATTTATATCAACGATTGATGTAATGTGCGTGACATTTAACGACGGAAGAAAAACCTGAGTCACAGCAGGAATCGGACCAGTTACTTTCGAATTATTCTAGTACGTCGGTGGCACAGTGGTTAGGACTCTCGCCGACCATGCACATGGTCCGAGGTTCGATCCCCTACCAACGCACACCTGATATCTATGGTCGGTCTGAGAAATTTGGGCTACCGATATCCACGCTGAAAATTCCATACTTGTACCAAAAATACGCTGTGGAATCAAGCTGTTATCAAAAATAAAAAAAATAAATAAATAGTAGGCTGCTGTACAAACTGACTTATAAGTTTCCGTTACTGAGTAGATCATTATTTCACTGCAGTCATCATGGGTATGCCTCAACTGTCCTGTGAATGAATGAAATCAGCCAGTGGTCCAAGGAAAACCGTTTAAATTTTAATCCCTCTAAATGTCGAACAGTCCATTCCACCTTCAACCATAAATCTGGCCTAAACAAACTGGTTAGCACTCACGAGATGTGCAACATAGATGGCACTGAAATAGAGACTTAGTCGGAAATTAAATATCTTGGCGTCATTCTATCTGCTGATCTTTCCTTATCGCTCGTCTCATATCTTGATGATTTCTAAGAAAGCATTCCGTCTTACCTTCTACATTAAGAAGTTAAGACATTCTGGAATAACCCAACACTTATTCTTACGAATCGTTAACTCTTTCATCTTGCCTATTATTCTCTATTGTTCCCCCTTAGTTTTTCCTGGGCTACTGAAGAAAGAATATACCTTATTAAACAGGATGTCAGCAGGGTAAGCTACGTGCCACTTAACCAGCTTGTTAATATTCTGGTCGACAGGGACTTGGAGTCATGTAAAAAATGGGCTAAATCCATTTTGTCTGACTCACAACACCCTCTTCACTCACAACTCTCCTCTTGTATCTCATCAGGCAGGCAGAACCAGAAGCCTATATGCTCGCACTAGCAAGTACAAAAACTCAACTATGCTACACTTAGCTTGTGTTCTGTGTGATAAAGAAAGCATTAGGCGTGATACGTATAACTTGATAAATAGTCAGTAGAAAAACTGGATCTCGTCTTTCCGACTCATATCGTTTATAGGTACAACGTTTTCTTTCATTCTTTTCTTTTTTTCTCTCTCTCTTTTCTTTTCTTTTTTTCTGTTATGTGCTGCTTTGTTTCTTTCTTCTGCTCACGCCAGTAAATATGCTAGTAGTATCTACCTTTCTAGCACCTTCAAACACTCTGTTCAACTTTGGCTTTGCTACCGACATGCCAATAAGTTGTTGTCATAATGACTCTCGCCGACCATGCACGTGGTCTGGGGTTCGAGCCTACGCCGACGCACACCTGATATCTATGGTCGGCCTGCAAAATTTGGGCTACCGATATCCATGCTGAAAATTCCATACTTGTACCAAAATTACGGTGTGGAATCAAGCTGTAATCAATAATAAAAAAATAAAATAAATAAAAATTACCCTTAATCTATGTAGAATTTTATTTATTGTTAATGTACTAACTGAACGCAGTGCTGTAGTAAAACGCTCAGAAGTTCATTCTGTAGCACAAGTCCTGTTTTGGAATAAAGCAAATTATTCTTAATAGTGTGTTATAATACTAAATATCTTGATAAATGGTGCTTATTAATTACTAATGACAATATCTAAGGCCCAAACAGGATGCCACTCCTAAAACACTGGTTTCCGTGTGTGATATGTAAAGTTATAAAACTTTGGGCTTGTGTTTCAGTGATTTAGGTGTGAAATTGTCGTCAGCGACGTACATGGTCAGTGTTCAATACCCAAACGACGCACTCTCGAAGCCTTGCCTACCCAGGAAATAGGAAGGATGGAGCCAGAGGCTAGCACTTCAGACAGCTCATCAGAGAATAAATCTCACTGCTGTGGTTGAATGAAAGCAAGATAGAATATATGACACGAATAAACTCACCTTCCTACATCACTCAACAATAATTGTCTTGTTGTACTCAAAATTCCTGTGTTTGAATTCAACACAATAAAAGATTTACCGTGCCATCTTTGACTGTTGCCTTCATAACCAGTCTCTGGAAATGACCATATATGATGTATTGTATAACTCAGCCTTGCATTCTCACCAATATCTTTATCTTCTGCATTCATTTGAATAATTACATAACCTTGTGGTACTTTATATGATATAGATATATTGGTTATGTAATATGGAGGATTGAAAGTCATTCGATTGATAATTAAACTTTTGACTGGTGGTGTTAAAATCCTGGTTGAATAGAAAGGTTCTTTCAATGTTGGCGAATTATCATTCACATCTTGTACATGAAGTATAATTTTCACTGAATTCTCAGTTGGATTTGTGAAGGCGTGATTCCGGTGAGTTAATGACGTTGTTGTTAACGTGAAAATGTGTCGATCTTGTTGCTCACGATCAAGTGGATACTGTGTCAAGATTGTGTAGCCTGTGCATAACTCGTTCGAGTAGCTGTCACATAAGAATTTATTGGGTGATAGATAGAAATGCTTGTTGTCGGATAACAGAGGTGTAGAGTCGATTTCAGTTAGTTTTAATTCACACCGTTTATCCAAATGGTTGCTGGCTTCAGAGATATTGGTAAAAGGACTGACACAATATACTATTGTATTCAGTAGTACAGGACTTCCTGGTGAGACCGATTCTGGAGTATAACACTCATAGGTATGATTTGAGTAGACTATAAATGAATTATTAGGGAATGCCTTTCTCAGGTGAATTCGACTGTTAGCTTTTGGATGGACTGACAGTGAAGTTGAAGAGGTTTCTGTTAGCTGATTATCGCTAATACTACCACTACTGATTGTCAGATTAAGTAGTAATCGGATTTTATGATTTAAATGCTTTGAGTAGTCGTAAAGAGTGCCAATTTTTGAAGCTTGTATAATCAATTGTTTCTTAATTGGCCGATGGTCAGTTAGAAGAGGCTGATTGTTTCGTAACTGGACTGTACCAGATATTGAATCGATGACGAAGGTATTTCCTGAAACAAACAAAATTCAAATTTATGAACAGCAAGAATAACATTTTTTTATACACTTGGTTCTCTCCATAAATTCTGATATTAGAAGAAAGAGAGGTCAAATTCGCAGTATAAACTGATATCTTCACTCTATTTCACGGGTACCTATCGGTTGATGACTGCCCGAAATTATAATATCATACCTTAATATTTAAACAGTGGAACAGAGAACATTATAAAATTTACATATTTGGAATGTACTGCAGTACTAAGAAACTGTACTGGCTCAATAAAGTTAGATAATAATAAGCTTTTGTTGAGAATAGCTTAAGGGAATAAAGATATCCAAAGGGATTTATCCAAAATAATGGCAAAGAAAATGATGAGGAAATGAAACATCCAACTGTTGGAAAGAAGAACGTGTTCATTTGTTTTCCCCAATTCACAAGAGAAGTAGTATCACAAAAGATTGACAGGAGAATGAAAAGAGCAATAAGAAGATGTCTCCCTTCAGCTAGGTTCATAACGATATACTGCATCACATGCACTATTAACTAATCCAAACTGGTTAATTCCGTTGCTGATGCCACCTCCAACTGCTTGTACAGACGCGTCGAGAATAATTTAGGAATAACTTGAAAAGAGTTTGATGGATGGTGGCTAGCAGTAGCATCCGTGATGTGCATTTCACTCTATTTAGGGTTCCTCAGGTGGATACACCTACTCTCCCCACTGACTGATGATGTTACCTTAGAGACACGAACCCAGTACCCGTCGTTTTAAAAAATTGTCTAGTGTTATCCAATAGACCTTTTGAGCAATGAGAGCCAGCGATTAGTTCTAAAATCAGATCATCAAGGGAGGTTCAAAGTAATGTCAAATAACTATAGGACTTAAGTGTATCCCACAAAACTGTTTGGAATATGGGTTAAAAAGCGCTAATGAGATAAACAGTAACACCATTTTTGGACGTCTTAGTCAAGTGAACACTTACAGCGGAATTAGAAACCCAAGTTTATAGGAAATCAACTCACACAGACCAAATACTGAATTACAACAGCGAAAAATATCTCATGAACGTCTTCCAAAAGAATGGATATCCAGGGATTTTATCAAAAGATATATACCCTTAGGCCAACCTACCAAACCAAAAATCCCCGAAGATAGCACAAAGGAAATCGACTTACAATACATAAAGGATATCTCAAAAAAATCAATGCAAGACTCCTCTAACCTCTAGCAATTGAAGTCACACACAAACAAACAAAATCACTTCGTTCATTTCTATGTCAACCAGAAGACTCAACAGCGAAGGAAGACAAAACCAACATCATCTACAAAACAAATTGTAACAACTACGAAAAGCACTACATTAGCCAAAGTGGATGCCACCCTCTTCGTCTTCGTATCCATGATCATAAGCTAGCTGTCAAAAGACATGACATCCACTACCTCATATCACTACACACAGACAACCACAGACATCAATTCGACTGAAGCAACGTTCAGATATTAGACAGAGGAAACACCAAGAATGCTAGCCAGAGAATTTTTAGAAGCCCACCTGGTATTCCAGTGAATCATCATCAATCAATAGACACATAGAGATCGACAAAATTTATCAACCGATAAGAAAGAAACCTCACACACACACAGAGGGTCAAAGTTCAAGTCAAGGAAACAATCAGTACCAATGAAAGCAGTCTAGAAGGTGTGAAAACACACAAAAGCAACCAATCATATCCAAGGTCACCAGGAGAGATGACTAATAAACTCGTGGAGAAATCTGAAACCTCACTTCAAATTGAAGTATGCGCTGAAAATTTCGCCTAGTAGGATGAGCAATCAAAGCTTCGCAAATTAACTCTCCAGCTCAGAGAACACAACCACATCAAAAACATTCAACTATGTTTGAAATATTGCCAGTAAGTACTACAGTATCAGTCTCCATATTTTATGAATAGAACTATTCTTTGATGGAGTTAAACTCTCCAAAATTATTCAAATTCTATCCTTATTTCAAAAGGCAAATATTTTGATCCTCGTGTAAATTACTTGTGTAATTATTGTTCGTTTCCTGATTTCAACGTGGAACAAAGTATCTCAGTGGTTCATCCCCAGAAAACTCCATTCCCCATTAGTGTAATGACAGAAAACAGGGGAATTTGAAGTCCTGCAAAGGGCTGCATAGGTCTATTTCTTTTACAGGCTTCAGGACATAGGATCTTTATCATCCTAATGCAGTGACACCATGTATAACAACAGAGCATCATTTATTAACAAATCGATGTACAGATAGAGGCGAAATGCCTACCATATAATAGAAACACAATTTATACCTATCTATACATCGAAAATATTCATTCAGACATCTATAAAACACAAAATAATTGAGCCAAAAATATCCGCTTCGATAACTTCCTCTTCTGGCTCTACAATTATATATATATATATATATATATATATATATATATATGCATGTATATATACACAGAATATTAGAGAATAGCAGATATTAACAATATCAGTGTGTATTTTAAATAATATCGATTTGTAAAGTAAGAACACAATGGAATTACCACAGTTCATTAAAGACGCTTGAATTATAAAAATAACAATAAAGATACAATAGCGAAAAGAATATCAACTAAAATTATGAAAATTCCACAAAATTTAGGATCATTGAAACCCAGATGCCTAAGCGGGTAAGGCTGATGTCTGAACTAACTTCTTTCGGATGCACAAATGAGGCTTCTCAATATGGATCCCATCAACCAGCCTCAGCATTATTTAATAGTCGAACTCTTAAGGCGCAATTGAGATTTGTTTATATGCGGTAAATGACTCTGAAAGCTTCCTGGTTAACATCAATCTTGTATTCTGTATCCACAAGATGAGACACAATAGCGCTACAAATGGATTTTGTTTGACCTTTGCTTAACCACACCGAGTGATGCTCGTAAATTCGATGAGAAATACGCCTAATTGTACGGTCTATGTAACTGGCTCCACAGGAGCAGTATCTCCTATGTGCATCTACCAATTTAACTTCTATTTTCTACGATAACTTTATTGTTAATATTATAATTGAAGCATCTTCAATGAACTGTGGTAATTCCATTGCGATCTTACTTAGCAAATCGATGCTATTTAAAAAACACTAATTTTGTTGCTGACTACTATTCTAGAATATTCCATGTATATAAACATGCATATATGCAATTGAAGAGCCAGAAGCGGGTATTTTTGGCTCAATTATTTTGTGTTTTATAGATGTCTGAATGAATATTTTCGCCATATTGAAATCTGTAGAAGACGAAAATGCCCTATAAGTCAACCTATAACCCACTCACGTTTATTATTTTTATTTTTTTAATCCTTTGCACTTCTAGCGGATTATAAGGGATTCAATTTTGACATTTGAATTTTGCACTAGCAATGATATTTATCTTTCACAAGCCTAGCTAGGTTGATACCTACATGATCAACCTTCTCTCTCTCCATTGGGTTTACTAATGGCCAGGCGCTGTTGAGAGAAATGAGTCCGCCGGGGATTGAACGCCTGACCATGTGCATAGTTGGTGAATGTACTCCACGAATGAACCACGGACACTCAACTAATTTACTGGTCGAATAGCCAATCTTACATAATCCAAATGGTTTCAAAGTACTTCGCCAAAAAACGGGATAAGGTTTCTCCTTACACATTACTAAACCCTTGTCTGCATGAAGAGGATTTAGGCGAACTCCTTTCTAACTACTTGGTAGCACTTTCCGTACATGACTCTAAAAATTCTCTGCTGATGCTACACGATCAGATGTAAAAACATGCTTCGGAGCAGAACTGTTGACTGAAAATTATATTTGGAAGTGTTAATGAGGAATTCTAAACAATGTCCTGCTGGTACGCCCTATGTACTTATCTCTCCACAGTAGCAGGTCAATCGCTAAGTTCACAGTGAAGTCGCCAACATCAGGATCTCGTCTCAGACGTCTTAGGGAAATCAAAACAGGAGAAGATTAGAAGTAGAAATGCAGCAAAGAACTTCCTTCGAATTGCTCTCTTGGATGCCTAATTTCAGGGCCCCTTTTTTTAGGTTATTCCACTTCCCATGTTAATTAACTTCTCTCCAACCAGTGAATCTGTCCATATGTGAATGCCATCACATGCAGTGGCCATGTTAGTTACAGATTATAACATGTGTATTGCGTGCAAATATTTTGCTTGGTCACTTTGAATGACGTAATAAGAACAGCGTCTTTTCACGATAAAGTGGACTCGTCTTGCGTCACATGGCTTGCGTCAGCTGCATACATCACAAGATAATAAGCCAAACAATTAATCAGTTTGGTGTGATTAAGTTGTACTGCAACTAAACAGCACGTGCTTTTAGTAACGGTAGAATTACACGCCAAAAACGAAGATGATATGCAAACTATGCAGTAAACCGTTGCAATGGTACGGAAATTCTGAGGAATATTGTGAAACTCGTCCTGTCTAAGCTTGAAATTCTTTATTAATCAGAGTGGATTGACGGAGGCTCGAACACAGGCCCTCCCGGTTTAGAGGAAAGCTTGTAAATCATTTAGCCACTTGGACGTCATCCATTAGCTAGCCAGCCAATGAATTCTGCTTTCTGTCATTTTGTGATTTTAACGCGACTGGCGTCAGTGGAAAGTCGTGACCAGTAGGATGCGGCACGTTGGGTGTGAGGACAAATACTCGCCACAGAAGACATTGGATAGCGGTTGCGCTATGTCGTCAATTGGCAGAAGTTAGAATTCATGGTCTGGCCATTTGATCAGCTTCCAGTGGCTTAATGTATACGAGCTCGCCTTGTATTCAGATGGTCCTGGGTTCGAATCCCAGTGGGTGCGTACTGCTGAAGAGTACCAAACTATGACGAAACAGCTGTCCAGTACTCCCTGTGGCTGTCAGGTCATGATGAAATCCTGTAACCAATCAACCAAATCCCTACAAACCAATACTTGAATCAGTTGATATCTTCGGCGAGTATTTG